CTCCCAGCCAGGGTTGAGAACCACTCGGCTAGTAGAAACCATAAAACGATTCGGATGGTGCCTTGCTCCGAAGCCTCCAGTAAATGATGCCGCTCTGTCAACACTCGTTCCATCATTTGTTGCCTGAATTATTCCAACAAACTCCTCACTGGCCAGCCTGCCTCTGGCCCTGCTGTGGGGCCAGATCCACCTTTCTAGGCTCAAAGTTAATCTTGTGACTGTCCTTGTCTCCTTGAGTTTGAATCCCCTTGCCCTGTGACCTGAAGTCTTTCACATTGTTGTGCAACCACCACCACCATCATCCATCTCCACAACTTTTCATCACCCCAAACTGAACCTCTGTCCCCATTAAACAGTAACCCCCATTCTTCTCTCCCACAGCCCCTGGCAACCATTGTTCTACTTCCTGTCTCTATGTCTTTGACTATTCCAGGTATCTTAGGTAAGTGGAATCCTAATGTATAAAAAAACAGGGTCCATCATGACCGAAACAACTGGACGGATGACCAAACAGCAGGCTTCGAGGGCTGACAAGGCCAGCAGGGGGTTGAGTGAGGGACGACCAAATGACTGAACAGCAGGCTGTGTGGGGCGACCAGGCCAGCAGGGGGGCAGTCAGGGGTGACCAGGCTGGCAGGGGGGGCAGTTAGGGGCAACCAGGCCAGCAGGGGGGCAGTTAGGGGTGACCAGGCCAGCAGGGGGGGCAGTTGGGGTGACCAGGCCAACAGGGGGGCAGTTAGGAGTGATCAGGCCAGCAGGCAGAGGCAGTTAGGGGTGATCAGGCTGGCAGGGGGGGAAGTTAGGGGCAATCAGGCAGGCAGGCAGGTGAGCAGTTAGGAGCTAGTGGTCCTGGGGGTCCCAGATTGGAGAGGGTGCAGGCTAGGCTGAGGAGACACCCCCCCCACCCCCCCTGCACGAATTTCGTAAACCGGGCCTCTAGTAATATAATATTTATCTTATGTGTCTGGCTCATTTTACTTAGTATAATGTCTTCAAGGTTCATCCATGTTGTAGCATGTGTCATAATTTTCTTTCTTTTTTAAAATGTGTTTTTTATTGATTTCAGAGAGGAAGAGAGAGGGGAGAGAGATAGAAACATCAATGATGAGAGAGAATCATTGATCAGATGCCTCCTGCATGCCCCACACTGGGGATCAAGCTCGTAACTAGGCATGTGCCCTGACTGGGAATCGAACTGTGACCTCCTGGTTCATAGGTTGACAGCTCAACCACTGAGCCAGGCTCGCCAGGCATACTTTTCTTTATTTATAAGGCTGAGAGATATTCTATTAATGTATATAACACATTTTTTAAAAGATTGATTATTTTAGGGAGAGGGACAATGCCTAAGAACCGAGCCACACTGGCCGGGGCAGTGGTGGTTCTCTTGGCAGGCTTCTTGTCCAGCTTGTGGGGTTTCACCCTGTGCCTGCACAGATGATTTTCCCCCCAGAGTTCAGGGGGGCTCCTCTGCAGCATTTGAGCGCTTTCTCTGGGTAGGTTCCTCCTCTTAGATAGTCTACCCCACAAATTCTAGCTGCCCCTTTCCTGGCACTGCCTGCAGCCAACGTTCCTATCAGAAAGAAAGAAGCAGACAGAGAGAAATGGCGATAAAACGAGGAAGACTAAGAGACACACACACACACACACACACACACACACACACGGAGCACAGGACTCAAGTTCCTCCATCCAGGCAAAAGTGAGGTCAGTGACACCCACGGGGAGGGCCGCAGGAAGGGGGACGCCAGCCCCCCTTTAAGACAGCCATGGGGGTCCATAAGCCTAGGGACCCCACATCATCCCCACCATGGGGGCATCTCACACTGGACTGTCCTGCGACCCTGACAGCCCTGCCTGTGGGCATTGAACTCAGGGAAAGAGCTGTGTTAAGCCCCTGGAACCCCATTCATTCTGGGAGCACTGTCCTGCCCCCACCAGAGTCACTTACAGGTCCCCAGCCCTGAGGGCCAGATTTCTGCCTCATTCACAGGGCACGCCTTTCCTTGAGGACAGGGACCTTCTTGCTGCCATCCACAGTCCGGACACAGGAAGCTGTGGCCTTTTCGTCTTCTTTTGACCCTCCTCCGCGTTCAGGTGGCCCCCCTGCCTTATCCACTTGACCACTTCCCGCTGTTCACCTGGCCCTTGTTCACTGGACCACTTGAGTCTGGTCACCTGGACCCTCCCCCTTGTTCCCGAAACCCCACCCCCTTTTTCACCTGACCACTGAGCCACATTGGCCGGGCTGCTTTGCTCTTCACGCAGAGGAGTGGACTTCCCAATCCTTGGAAGTTGAGTTAAGTGCCTAACACCCACAGGCTGCCTCCTACCTAGCAAGGAGGGCAGCAAGAAGGGGGACGCCAGCCCCCCTTTAGGACTGCCATGGGGGCCCATGAGCCTAGGGACCCCACATGGTCCTCACCATGGGGACATCTGGACTGTCCTGCGACCCTGACAGCCCTGCCTGTGGGCATTGAAATCAGGGAAAGAGCTGTGTTAAGCCCCTGGAACCCCGTTCCATTCTGGGAGCACTGTCCTGCCCGCTCCAGAGTCACTTACTGGTCACTGGATTCGGAGGGCCAGCTTTGTGCCTCATTCACAGAGATTGCACTTCCTTAAGGACAGACATCCCTGACCTTTTATGATTGAGTAAGGTAAGCCAGCTATTTATTTTATATCATTTTTGGCTTAATTTAGTACTGTCAATTGCTAACTAAAACGGATCTGACTAGTACAAGCCATTTTCTTATATTTGCTGAATGAGTGGAATTAACTTGTATACCTGCCTTTTTCGCAATGCAGCTAAGATTGCTTCCTATGAGAGCAGGAAGATAAAATAAAAATAGAAATGGAAACTCAAGAATATGAAAATATAATTTTAAAAAATGAAAATGCTCTATTAATTCAATATCAAATTTGGCTCCGAGCTTCTTGGCAGCCAAAGCAAAAAATGTGAGACATAGTAACTTAGCTTCCCCTTCCCGCCTCCAGAAAACACAAAGCCTATTCTGTATGTTCCTCCAGCGAAAGAAAATTTCCCCTAGACTTTAGCTAATTTTTTCCTAAACTTTTCCTTTTAGCTCCAAAGGGGAAGTTTCAGACGGGGCTCTGTGAGCAGGTGCTGGGCGATGTGGCGGAGGCACCAGAGTCTGCAAGGAGCCTCCTGTGTTTGATCCTTGGAATATGGGCCCAGGAACAAGTACATTTGCCAAATTTAGTTGTTAACTGTCGACCTTGCCTTGACCTCTCAGTAGCTCTTATCATAGTTGGCCGCTCCCCTGTCTTTGCAACACTGTCTTCACTTGCCTGGCAGCCCTCACTCTCCTGGCTCACTTCTTCCCCACTGGCCTCTGTCTGGTCTCCCTGGCTGTGTCTCCCTGACCTCTAAGTGGTGGCAGGCCCAGGCCCAGGCCCAGGCCCAGACCTCTCCCCTTTTCCCCTCTCTCTTCCTATCCTGGCCCAAGTCCTACAGACCCTTTCCTGGACGACAGTCCCTCTTTCCACCCTGGCCCTCCAGTTTAATCTCTACACAGCAGCCAGAGGGATCTTTTAAAAACATAATTCATGCCCAGCAGGTGTGGCTCAGTGGTTGAGTATTGATCTATGAACGAGGAAGTCATGGCTCGATTCCCATTCAGGGCACATGTCCAGGTTGCGGGCACGAATCTCAGTGTAGGCATGCAGGAGGCAGCTGATCAATGATTCTCTCTCATCATTGATGTTTCTATCTCTCTCTCTCTCTTCCTACCTTTCTGAAATCAATTAAAAAATATATTTTTAAAAGGTATATTGCTGTCCTGGCCGGGTGGCTCAGTTGGTTGGAGCATCATCCCGTAAACCAAAAGGATTGCAGATTCGATTCCTGGTTAGGGCACATACCTAGGTTGTGGGTTTGATATTTCTCTTCTCTCTCTCTCTCTCTCAAATCAATAAACATATCTTTGGGTGAGAATTTTAAAAAGTTATGTTGCTTAGAGCCAGCAAATTTGCTTATAGAAACTTAGGTTTCAGAAATGCCCAATGTGCAACAGCTCATTTACAAGGTTGTCACTGTGGCCACGTCTGTAGCAGTGAAGCTGGCGGAAGCCGTGAGCATATTTGACGGTAGGGGATGGGTTTAGTACATTATGCTGGTCAGACTATAACACTCAGTGATGGTGGCTCTGCATGTATGGCATGGAAGGCTGGGCAGAACATACTATTAAGCAGAACAAGTATGATCTCGTTTTTGTAGAGAAATTATATACAGTCATGTGTCGCGTAACGACGGGGATATGTTCCAAGAAATACTTCATTAGGTGGTTTCTGTCATCGTCGGAACATCCTAGGGTGCTTACACAAACGCAGGTGGCCTAGTCCCTACACACTTAGGCTATGTAGCGCTTCCTGCTCCTAGTTGCAAGCCTGTACAGCACATCACTGTGCAAAACAGCATGAGATTAAATAAACACCAGAGAGATTGATGCTGCGGTCATAGAGCTGATGACAGGCCGCCAGGGCCTCGGGTTGGCACCCCGTTCCCATGCTGCTGGTGGCAGCGCGCCGCCAGGTGTCCTACGGGGATTTACCATGTCAAGGCTTTTCGGTGCTGCTTGGAAGCTTGAGGCAGGATTGAAATGGTCTAACGCCCGCAGAGCTTTCTCTGGGCTCCGGTGTGCCTGCTGTCTCGCTCCCGGACTCGGCATTCAGCTTCCTGGCCTTTCCCGCCCTGTCAGGGCCTGGGAGGGCAAGTGGTTGGACAAGACCTTGTGAGAATTCAGTTTGGCTCCCACAGGGCCTCAGCCAGGGCTGGGGAGCAGCCCCGGAGGCAGGCAGAGGGAGAGGGCCCGCCTCTGGTGTCCCCTGGCCGTCTTCACAGAGTGCGAGGGCCCTTCCAGACGGCTGAGTGCTGAGGCCCAGTGTACAGATAGATGGGGAAACACAGGCCAAGCAAAGGCAGGGGGCTCACACCAGGTCCCCGGGAGGCCTGTAGAGGCAGGAGCAGAGGCAGGACTGGCCCGGGGTTTCTGGGCTCCTAGGCTTGGACTATTCCTCAGCATCCTGCTGAGCTCTTCCCTCTAGTAGGGAGTTAGCCTCACATACGGGCTGACCCTTCCTGGAGACTGGCTGAGGACTGGTTGCCATAGAGATGGTGGAGAGGACAGTTCCAAGGCTGGCAGATGGGGGTGGGGGTGGGGCAGGACACCAATATGCTAAACACCCACCAACAGTTGGTCAGGACCAGGAGAGCAGGGCAGGACCACAGGCTCCAGGCTCCAGGGATGGGCACAGGGCTGCTGGAGCTTCTGTCAGGCATCGACCAGGCTGAGCAGGTGAGGGAGGCCCCATGGGGGACTTCCAACTGCCCAGGGGCAGCCTGGCTATCGGGGCCAGGGGAGGCCAGGGTTGAGGGAGGCCCTTGAGAAGCCATGGGACTGAGCTGAGGCCTAGGTGAGAGTCAGGGAGGCTCGAGGGAGGAAGGGGCTATGGGGAGGCTTATAAGGATGGGGGTGAAGACGAGGAGGATGCCAGGAGATGACTCCCAGGCTCCCAGGCTCCCAATGGAGCGATTTAGGGAACACTGTGGGAGGAGCAGGACTTTGGGAGAGATAATGAGTTTCTTCCATCTTGGCTTGGCAAGTCCAGGGCCCTATGGGGCAGCCAGAAGAGCGGTCCAGGACCCCGAGGCAGCATAGTGCAATGGTGACAAACTACGCTCTGGGGACAGACTCAACATGTTCAGGTCCTGGCTCCATTGACTGGCCGTGTGACCTTAGTCAAATGATTTTACCTCTCGGACCTTCAGTGTTCTCATCTGCATGATGGGTGTAATAGTGAGGACCTACCTCACAGGATGCTTGGGAAGGTTAAAGTCCGAGCCTCTCCTGAGTTGTTGCTATTTTAATATTATGAATTGAGGTCGCTGTCAGTCAGTTTTAGGGGCCAGCCAAAGTGCAGAGAAGTGGAGGGCCCCCTGGTGGAGGTGTGATGTGGTCTAGGACCTGGGCCTTCTCTCCTGTCTTCGCCCAGGGGAGGCTTGGGAGCGGTAATAGTGTGATTCGGAGTCAGCGGCAGAGAGCTCAGAGCGGAGGGCAGACGGCAAAGAAGAACCGGAGGCCCCGAAGCTGGAACAAGAAAGGGCATGGCTCTGCTGAGGCTGAGGAGTAAGCAGCTGTGGGAAGGGCCGGGAGGGGTGCTGGGTGTCAGGCCCCGTTGGGGGTCAGTGTCCTGACCCTGACCTCTGCCCCCTGCCCTCTCCCTCCTCAGTGTTGTTCTCTCTTCTCCTCGGAAACCCTCCTTCCCTTTCCAATGGGCCTGGGAGAGCTACACCACAGATGGCCAGGCTCCACTTCGGCCTGGCTCCCTCTCCGCCCCAGCGGCCCCCCAGCACAAGTTCAGCCGTAAGGGCACTGACAGCTGTCTAGAGGCCCATGACTTATGCTGGAAGATGAAGGTGCAACACCTGGAGAGGAGACAGCAGCTCGAGGCCTGGGACGTCTCCATCCCTTCTGGCCAAGGGGAGGGCCGAGAGCTGGAGCTGCCCAGTGAGTGTGGCCTCCAGACACCCTGCAAGAAGTCAGGATCAGGATCGGAGTCTGAGGAGGCTGCTGAGGAGGCTGAGAGGGGTCTGAGCTCTGGGGAACTGCCCCAGTCTCCCAGGAGGAGGTCGATTTTGGAGGAAGAATGGTTTGCAGAGGAGGCTGAGGAGGAGGAGGAGGAGGGGCACAAGGCCCCCCGCAGACGGAGGGCAGGTTCTCGGAGAAAGGGGTGGAATTCCTGCGCAGAGGCCTCCGAGGAGAGTGAACTGCAGGGCCAAGGGAGCCATCCCAGTTCCAATGACCCCCAAGGACCACAGAGGAGGAAGGCAAGGGCCACGGAGCTGGAAGGGATGTGGGACCTGGAGAAGATGAAGAAGCAGATAGAGCAAAACTTGGACCGTGGTGAGTGTGGGGCTCAACACCTGGGTTCCCGAGGAAGTTGCACAGGGGGAGAGAGGTGGGGAGCCGGCGGCCTGGGCCAGGAGTTCCGACAGGGCTGGCCTGTGCCCCAGGTGCTAGGTGGGATTGCCCATTGGGCCAGGAGAGGTAACTTCTCCCACTGGGATAGGCCTCAAAAAGCATCCCTGGAAGGCTTGGCGGATTGCTATCCAAAACTGCAACAGGAGTGGGAAGGCCCAGGCCTTGGGAGAAGATGAGACACCGTTTGCCAACTTCCCCACCCGTACCGTCCACAAACGGCAGGAGGCCACCAGGTAAGGTGGGAGGAGTGTGGGGGCCGAGGGCAGGGAGTAGAAAAAGAGCCCATTCTCCAAGAGATACTTAACCATTCATCCTCTCATTCATTCCTCCATTTATCCAATCATCTATTGATCCATCAATCCATCCATCTCTGTCTGCTTGGCCCAGCGGTTCTCAACCTGTGGGTCACGACCCCTTTGGCGGTCGAACGACCCTTTCACAGGGGTCGCCTAAGACCATCCTGCATATCAGATATTTACCTTACGATTCATAACAGTAGCAACATTACAATTATGAAGTAGCAACGAAAATAATTTTATGGTTGGGTCACAACATGAGGAACTGTATTTAAAGGGCCAGAAGATTGAGAACCACTGGCTTGGCCAATGGTCTATTGACACAACCAACTTTTCATTCACTTCCAATCTTCTATCCATCAATAATCAATTAATTAATTTATTTTTATTTTAAAAATATTTTTACTCTTTAAAAAAATATATAATTTTGATTTCAGAGAGGAAGGGAGAGGGAGAGAGAGATAGAAACATCAATGATGAGAGAGAATCACTGATCAGCTGCCTCCTGCATGCCCCACATTGGGGATTGAGCCTGCAACCTGGGCTTGCGCCCTGACAAGGAATCAAACTGTGACCTTCCTGGTTCATAGGTCAATGCTCAACCACTGAGCCACACTGGGTGGGCCATCAATAATTTATAAACTGAGTGATTAATGCAACACATATTGAGTATATACTCATGTGTCCTTAGGATATAAAGATAAAAAAACTTGCCCTAACTGGTTTGGCTCAGCGGATAGAGCGTCGGCCTGTGGACTGAAGGGCATGTACCTTGGTTGCAGGCACATCCCCAGGAGTGGGTGTGCAGGAGGCAGCTGATCAATGTTTCTCTCTCATTGATGTTTCTAACTCTCTATCCCTCTCCCCTCCTCTCTGTAAAAAATCAATAAAATATATTTAAAAAAAAAAGATAAAAAAACTTGGTTCTAACCTAAGAAGCTCAAGGTCTGCTGGAAAAGGAGACAGATGGGCAAAGCAACAATAACGGCAGTAGAGTTAGACAACTGCTGTACTTGGGGCTGAAGAAGAGATAATGGGAGGAGATGGGAAGACTGGGTGGGGATGGAGGGCTGTTGGCATCGTCTAGGTGAGGGATGGTAAGGGCCTGAACCAGGTGGCCATGGGAATGGAGAGCAGGGGTCCATTTGGAGGCTGGCTCAGTGGGTCTTAGTGACCAGCTCGAAGCGGTAGGTGAGAATCCTTTCAGCATTCTGAGAGTACCCCTCAGTTCTTACCCTGTCACCTCCTGCTCGAGGTCCTTCCACGCCTCCCTGTGCCCTTGGGACCAAGCCCAGGTTCCTTGCTAAGGAGGCTCCTGTCTCCCACGCCAGCTGGTCAGAGTGGCCGGAACGCTCATGCTCCCCCTCCTTCCTCAGCCGTCCAGCTAACTCAGAGGCATCTTTCAACTCTCAAGTCAAGGGCCACCTCAGGAAGTTCTGCTCTGTGCTCGCCGCCATCATAGCTTTTGCCACACCACACTGCCGTGTCTGTCCCTGCGCACAGACTGAGGGCAGGTGCCAGATCTTATTGATCACGGCCTCTCCGGTTCCCTACACAGGACCCGCACATATCGGTGCTCAATAAATATGTGCTAATTGAGTAACTGCATCTCCCCCTTTGTCTATCTGTCCATGATTCAATTATGTATTGATTCACTACTATTGAGTTTTTGTCCATGTTAGGCACTATTCTAGCTGCCAGGGATACCTTGTTGATGAATGTATCAAAATAGACAAGAAACTGCACTCATGAGGCTTACATTCTACTTGGGAAGAGGATAATTAATAAAGAAATGAACAAGGTGACCCTGACCAGTGTGGCTTGGTTGGTTGGGCATCGTCCTATGCACTGAAAGGTTGCCTGTCAGGGCACATGCCCAGGTTGCAGGCTCGAATCCCAGTAGGGGGCATGCAGGAGGCAGCTGGTTGATGTTGCTCTCCCGTTCATGTTTCTCTCCCTCTCTCTCTAAAAATCAATTTTTAAAATCTTTAAAAAATAAAAAAAACAAGGTGTATAGCTAGAACTGGAAAATATCTGAGAGGTAGGTGAGGTGGTCAGGGAGTCTTTTTTTCCCTGATATCTGAGCAAATACCTGACTGATGAGATGGCCGTGAGACCTGGGGGAAGAATGTTCCAGGTCGATCTAGGTACTGTCTATTCAACCATCCACACCATTCATCTATCCCTCCATACATCCATTATCACATCACCATTTTGTTTCTTTTTTCTCTCCATTCATCCACCTGCCTGTCCTTCAAGTCAAAATGCGTTCACTTAGCCCTATCTTCCCCTTCCTGGCCCCTGACCCTCTATGAGCCTCCTGTTCCCCACAGACTCCTCCCATCCTCTTCCTCCCTCTCCCCCACTAAGAAGCATGCTGCAGGCCTGGGAGCGGCGGCAGCAGGAGGAGCAGCAGCAGGCTGAGCAGCGGAAGACCCGGGAGCAGCAGGTACAGCAGCAGGTGGCCCGCTGCCTGGCAACCTATGCACCCAGGAGTCAAGGGCTGGGGGCTGCCCAACGCAAGCTGGAGGAGCTGAGGTAGGAAGCTGGGCTGTGGAGGGCCTGGTGGGGACAGGGCAGAGGCAGTGCTGGGTCAGACAGAAGGACCCAGCAGACCCAGCCCTCACCTCTCCTCCTGGCTGAGCCTGCACTGCCATCCTCCAGCCGGCAGGCCGCTTTGTGTGCCGTATAGATAAAGACCATGAGGCTCAGGAGGAAGGGCTGGGCCAAGGTCATCCAATAAATAACAATCTCTGAAGCTGTCAAATGCTCAGGTTAAATATTCCACGTGCTTCATCACACTTTCAAATCTTGTTTTTCCAATTTCACAAGCCAGGCATGCTTACTATAAAAATTCAGATGTTACCAAAATAGCTGATGTAGAATGTGAACAGCACTTATGCCTCCCCCCCCACCCCCCACTCCCAGAGACAGCCATTGCTCGTGGGCCAGTGAGTTGATTCTCTTCCTATATTCTGACCATTTAAAAAACCAATCCACAGCCTGGCTAGCATGGCTCAGTGGTTAAGCATCAACCTATGAACCAGGAGGTCATGGTTTGATTCCTGGTCAGGGCACATGCCTGGGTTTTGGGCTCCATTCCCAGTAGGGGGCGTGCAAGAGGCAGTCAGTCAATGATTTTTCTCTCATCATTGATGTTTCTATCTATCTCTCCCTCTCCCTTCCTCTCTGAAATCAATAAAAATATAATAATAAGAAAAACCAACCCACAAATGCATACTTAAAGGAAAATCACTGTTAGACTCATAATAGGCCCATGAGGTAGGTATTATCACCATTCCCATGATTTTACATATGAGGAAGCTGAGGCTCAGAGAGCTCACATCATTTTCTGAGCTGCGAAGCTGGGATTCCAATCCAGGCAGCCAGTTAGCCACCCTGCGATACTGCCTGGGAGGCTCGGTACCCAGCATCATCCCCCAAAGCCTAACCTAGTGACAGGTGACACTGCTCACAGATGCCATTGCCATTGCGTGCCCACTGGGTGCAGCTGGCACAGGGCAGCCCTTTCCATGCCTCGTCTCCTTTCATCCTGGGAGATGTCTTCTTGCCAGACCTTAAGTTCATTGTTGTTTTTTTTTCCACGGCAGGAAGCATAAGTTTTCAAACCCCAAGGGGCAGATGTCAGTGAGAGGAGTATTTCAAACACGCAGCCTTCATTTCCTACTTGGGAGTAGTGTTTCCGTGAGGTCTCGCAGCTCACAGCCTCTGAACTTTCCTCTGAGCTGCACGGGAGACTGCCCTGCTCAGGAGGCGGGCACAAACGGTTGCCCTGTGGTGGGGAGGTGATGTGCCTTCCTTGCATCCAGTGATGATGGACACAACTGACATCCACTGACACGCTTCCTTTTCACTCGGGAGGGGGGAAATAGCTTAGAGAGCCAAGCAGGAAAATGTACATGGCATCGCGGGCAAGGCGGAGACTGAAGGCCAGCTCCTGTCCCTGCCCCAGCCCCTTGCAACGGCTGTAAATCCCCCTTGAATGGCGACGACTCCTTTTTGCAGTAACTGCTGTCCCTGCCATGGGTTTTCAAGTCCATCTCTTTTTCTTGAATGGAAGATTCTCTCCCTGGCTCACAGACAAGGGTCCAGGCCCAGCAGACGTGCCGGAGGGCCCAGCATGGGCTGGAGTCTTCTCCCTCCGTACTGTCTGGGTGCTGCCACCACATCCCCTGCCTCTCTCAGGTGCCCCACAGAAGGATGCCGGGACCTGTGTGCGCGGCGGCCAGAGGACCCCTCCTGCTGCCGGGAGGCTGGCTAGTTGAGCAGACACATTTCTCACGAGTGCACAAACTGGGTTTTGTACCCGGATTTGTGCTTCTCCAGTGGAACCTTGATTTTTCTGGAATGTGCTTTATTTGCAACATCGTTGTTAGTTACTCCGTCCCGTTTTCTAAGCTGTCTGCTTATAAGAACCACAGCAGATGCTGGCAAGCTGGTCCCACCGCTGCTATAGCAGAGAAAGGAGCCCAGAGCCCAGCACCACGCCCACAGCCACAGCTTCCTCCTCACGGGGCGGTGTGAGAAGTGCAGCCTGTGGACTCAGGGCAGGGACAGGCTGTGCGAGCAGCCACCCAGTTGCTCAGAAGCCACCACTGGCCCCTCTCCCTTGGGAGTAGCTGGGAGCACTAGCGAGCCCTGGCTGCACAGCCTGGAGACACAGTGTCTCATGTCCCAGCTGTGCAGCCTTGGACAAGTCCCTCAACCCTCCTGAGCCTCAGGCGAGTCCTGGGTAAAATGGGACAAATACTAATTCCTACCCCACTGACCTCGGGAGGAAGCCAGGGCGAGGAGGGGAGTGGAATGGCTCTGTAAAGGGAAGGGCACACAGTCCTTAGTGAAGACGAGCAGCTCACAAGTGGGGATGGGCTGTGTCCATGGTTAGCTGCCCACAGGCCCGTCTCCCCACAGGCGCCAGGAGCGGCAGCGCTTTGCCGAGTACCAGGCCGAGCTGCAGGGCATCCAGCACAGGGTGCAGGCCCGGCCCTTCCTGTTCCAGCAGGCCATGCAGGTGAGAGCTAGCGCCCGGGCAAGCAGGCGGCCTCCCCGAGAACACGCCTTTCCACCGGCTGAGTGGGTAGGGAGGCGAGGTGGGGGTGGGCCCCTTAGATGGCACCCCAGGCTGCTGCCCATCTGGAAGCCCTGGGACCCCCTCAGAAATCAGAGCCCCACTTGTTCTCGGGGCCCTGGTGCACAGTGGACTCCCTCTCTCTCCGCAGACCAATGCCCGGCTCACGGCGACCCGGCGCTTCTCCCAGGTGCTGTCGGCACTGGGGCTGGATGAGGAACAGCTGCTGGCTGAGGCTAGGAAGGGGGATGCCAAGGGCACTTCCAGGAGACCCAGGTGAGGCCATCTAGCTGGCCACGAAACTGGCCCTGCCCAGATGTGAGGACGGGGTGCATACCAGCACGCTGGGCCCCGCAGGGTCTCCTCAGCCCCCTTCACCTTGTGCTGGAGGTCTGGGAGAGGTTGCGGGAACTCTGTGGGCAGCCACAGTGACCCGCCCTGAATCTAAGCTTCAGTCCTGCCCTGCCCGCCCTCCATGACCTGGGACCCTCGCAGTCAGCAGGTACGTCCAGGCTCTGTCCCCCATGCCCCCGAGGAAGGTGAGGCCAGGGTTATCCCCCCACTTCTCAACAGGAAACTAAAGCCTGAGGGCAGGGTCTTCCCCAGGGACACAGGAGTGAATAAGCAGCAGAGCCCGTCTGGGAATCTGCGCCCACCTGAAGGCACACGCCAGGCCTCCATTGTGGGCTGGTGCCCGGCCAGGCTTCCCACGTGTAGTCCCTTAACCCTTAGAGCAGTGGTTCTCAACCTTCTGGCCCTTTAAATACAGTTCCTCACATTGTGACCCAACCATAAAATTATTTTCGTTGCTACTTCATAACTGTAATGTTGCTACTGTTATGAATTGTAATGTAAATATCTGATATGCAGGATGGTCTTAGGTGACCCCTGTGAAAGGGTCGTTCGACCGCCAAAGGGGTCGCGACCCACGGGTTGAGAACCGCTGCCTTAGAGCAACCTGAGCAGAGCAGGACTTACAGACCTAGTTCACAGAAGGGAGCGGAGGCTCAAAGAAAGTCCTTCCTCAGGGTCACACAGCATAGGAGCCAGATTTGAACCCGTATCATCAGTGACAATGGCCTTTCCCTTCCTACAGCCCAAGGTGGCCTCGGGTGTAGGGTTGGGGGGCTACAGGGTCTAGTGGCCTCTATCTTTGTCTTTGTCTTTAAGGAGCCAACGACCAATAGGGGAGAGAATGGAGCACTCTTCTCAGAGCCCCCCCGAGACAGGAACCACTGGCAGCCAGCCTGTGAGGCGCTTGACCCAAGCCTGGACTGGGGATCCAGTCCCTTAGATAAAAATTAAAGGCTTTATGGAAAATACACTGTGGGATTTCCTTTTTCTTAAAAAAAATGTTTCTATTGATTTTTAGAGAGGGAGGGAGAGGAAGAAGGGAGGGACAGAACATCGATGTGAGAGTAACATCGATAGGCTGCCTCCTGCACGCCTGCCCCCAACTGGGGACCGTGTCCACAACCCAGGCATGTGCCCTGACCAGGAATACCAGGAATCAAATCAACGACCTCTTGGTGCATGGGTTGACACTCAACCACTGAGCCACACTGGCCAGGCCAGTGTGGGATTTCTGGTGGTGGAAGGAAGAGACTGCAGTTGGGAGTAGGAGATGGCAGGTGGACAGGTAGCAGGTTTAGCTTGTCGGCCCAACCACGCGCCACCGCCCCTCCCCCTGACTGTCCCAGCCACCAGCACCCAGCCACACAGCCTTGTGTGTGCTCCGGAGGAGTGGGGCATCTCACAGAGCAACAGCTGTGACCCCCACTCCTAGTTTCCAGCATGTATGCTGGGTCCTAGAAATTCAAGAATGAATAGGACAGGATGGCCTCTACCTTTGAGAAATCCCAGTCCCCTGGGGGAGTAGGGCGGACCTTTAAAGGGCACGCACATCACACCATAGCAGATGGACCACATAGGGGCCACCAGATGGAGCAACTGGGGTGAGGGTCTGGAGGGATTGTGTGAACTGGGCTTTTAAGTAACTTCAAGTTATAGCCCCTCTCCTCAAGGAAAAAAAAAAGCTCACACACACAATTGTCCCGAATTTTACACCCAATTTCAGGGGGTTCACAGACACACAGCTCCTCGGCAGCTCCTTAGCAGTTCACAGGTTGAAAACCCAACCCAGAGAACGTGGGAAGGCAGCATGTGCTGACAGTACTGGTTGGAGGGACTCGGAGGCTGGGCTGTGGAACTTGGGGTCTCAAGGACAGCATGCTGGTGAAACAGTTTTTTAGGGGTAAAATAAGACAGGTTTAGGAAATTTTAGAAATTAAGGGTACCATGGAAGGGAGCACAGGGCTGCAAAGCTGCAGAAGGTGTATTTCCATAGAATAGGGAAGCTGAAAAGCTGCAACAGGTACATTTCCATAGAATGAGGGAGCTGGGAACAGCAAAAGGCCTATATTTACAAAATAAAGAGAAGGAAGCCCTTCATCCAGGAGAAGAAGAAAGCCCAAAGGGAATAGGAAAACAATAAGGAAGGAGGGGGGAGAACCTCATGTGTCCCATGTGAGGTTGGACCTTTGAGCCCAGGAGTTACTATAGTAACCAGTCTAAGGCAGTGGTCGGCAAACTTATTACTCAACATAGCCAAATATCAACAGTACAATGATTGAAATTTCTTTGAGAGCCAAATTTTTTAAACTTAAACTATATAGGTAGGCACATTGTTATTAACTTAATTAGGGTACTCCTAAGGCTTAGGAAGAGCCACACTCAAGGGGCCAAAGAGCCGCATGTGGCTCGAGAGCTGCAGTTTGCTGACCACGGTAAGGGAATAGTGACCAATCAGAGGGGATGTCAAGGCACCAGGATCTGCAGCCTTTATAAGCCATAGGGAAAAAGAACCCATCGGGACCCTTTCTCCCTCCCCATTGGGAGTCAATTCTGTGGGACTCTTTCCCTCTCCCCACATGGGAGTCTGTACTTACCTATATATATAAAAGCCTAAGCGACCTAACGACCGAATGACTGGTCGACCAGTTGCTATGATGTACACTGACCACCAGGGGGCAGACAACACAGGAGCTGCCCCCTGGTGGTCAGTGCACTCCCACAGCCAACCTCCAGTGGCTGGCCGGCCAACCTCCCACAGTCTCTACCCCAGGCTGGCCAGACCCCCAATCGGCCCATCACCAGCCAGGCCGAGGGACCCCATCTGTGCACAAATTCGTGCACCGGGCCTCTAGTTCTTCAATAAATCTCCACTTTTGCTACACTACTCTCTGTCCGTGGATTCATTCTTCGACTCCAGCAGGCAAAGACTCCGGGTTCCAGTCCAAAAATTCCGTTTCACTGGGTCGTCCAGCACCCGAAGGAGTGACGTCCCAGGGAGTCCATTAGCAGGACGTCTCATTGAGCAGCGGGAGCTGTCCAGGGAAAGTCTGTGCGAGGGAGAGCGTCCGTGGCTGGGGGTGTGCAAGCGGAGGGAGGCCGGGGAGGCGCCGGCCATGGGGATGCCCTCTAGGTCCCCATAGTTGTGGGACCCCAGAATCTCAAGACCACATCCCAGGTCCGCGCACCTGAAGGAGCCCACGCGCAGTGGGGCCATCCGCTCCAAGACCTCTACCCGCCGAGGCAGCTGCGACTGCGCGCTCGGGCTCCGACCCCGGCTTTCCCATGAGCCTCTGGGGCCGGCTCCGCAGCGAGCTACGGAAGCAGCCGCTCTTGCTTTCCGGCAACACGACAGCGGCCGCTGGGCGACCCGGAAGTTTTCCCATTTTGCCTGCTCGGGGCTCGGTGGCGGCCGGGCTCGGGGCTGACGTGCCGCCATGGGGTCGTCAAAGAAGCACCGCGGGGAGAAGGAGGCGGCCGGGACCACGGCGGCGGCCGGCACCGGGGGCGCCAACGAGCAGCCGCCGCGACACCGAGAGCACAAAAAACACAAGCACCGGAGCGGCGGCAGCGGCGGCAGCGGCGGCGAACGACGGAAGCGGAGCCGGGAACGGGGGGCCGAGCGCGGGGGCGGGCGGCGCGGGTCCGAGACCGAGGCCCGCAGCGGTGCGCACGGGCGGGAGCGCAGCCAGGCCGAGCCCTCCGAGCGGCGCGTGAAGCGGGAGAAGCGGGACGATGGCTACGAGGCCGGTGAGGGCGGGGCCTGCGCCGGGGGCGGCCGGGCCCGGGTTTGAAGGCACTGAGCGCCCAGCACTCCGGGCGGGGGCGTCCGCAGGCCTTGTCAGCACTGACTGAAAGGTCTTCAGGGCGTTTGGGGTTAACGGCTGTCTCCCGCTACTCAACTCTGAGGGCAGGAGCTTTGTTTTCAGTGGCGCATCACAGGCCTTCAGTAAATTGAACGAGTGAATGAGTGGATGAATGATGAATGAATGAAAGAGTGAATGAATGACGTGATACCCGCGTGTACAGAGGCAAGAGAAAACCTGGCATTGGGCAGGCGAATCGGGCGGGGCTCACAGCAGAGGTAGAGGCTAGTAGGGCTTCAAACCGAAGGGCCCCGGCCCCGTTAGGAAATTGGAACTTTGCCCTGAGGGTGGTAGAGAGCCATGCTCTGATTTGGGGAGCGAGTGGATCATATTCGTATTTTGCGGTGATCACGCACTGAGCTGGGTCGGCGGTAGTCGGGCCGGGCCAGGTGTGGCCTGCACCCGGGCAGCAGCAGTGGGCGCAGAGACTCGGACAGACTGACACTTCAGTGAGGAGGGAGGAACAGAAGGAATTGGGGATGCGTGGCGGTGGGCGGTGGTGTCATCCACTGCAGCTGAGGAGTGGGAGGGCAGCAGACTTTGGGGGCAAGATAATGAGCTCCGTTTCGGAGAGTGTTGCGTTTGATGTGAATGGGAGACACCTGTGGAGACATCCAGGCTTTGGGCTGGGTGGAGCCGTTTGGGAGAGATGAGCGGTGAGGTGGCAAATGAAGTCCCCTGAGAGAGGGGAGTGAGACTCCGGGGCCAGGAGTGGAGGCTGAGCGATCCTCATATTTTAGTAGTGGACGGAGCAGGACACTACAGAAAACGAGGCAGAACAGCCCAAAAGGAAAACCATGGAACTTTGTGTCATGGGATCTGTGTGGAAAGTGTATCAGGAGAAGGAATGGCCAAGTGTCAGGCAGCACAGGAGATCAAGCAAAACCGGGAAAGAATCCACTGGGTTTAGAAAGAAGGGGGCTGGTGACCTTGAAGAGAGTCTGGAGTGGTGGACGTCCAGGGTCCAGCTGGGGTAAGCGGAGGTGGGTTGTGGGGTGGGAACGCAGGAGGGATGAGCATGTGGTGGCAGCTGGTTGGGGGCCCTGGCTTCTGTTTGTGTGATTAGTGAAGTTATTTGCTGTCTGTGAGGTGGGCAGAGGGAGTTTGAAATGCATCTTTTTTTGGTCTACGGCATTTATTGTTCAGATTATTACAGTTGTTCCTCTTTTTTCCCCCCATAGCTCCCCTCCACCCAGTTCCCACCCCACCCTCCCCTCACCCCCCCAATGTCCTCATCCATAGGTGCACAATTTTTCTCCAGTCTCTTCCTGCATCCTCCCCACCCCTTTCCCCCCCAAGAATAATCAGTCCACTCCCTTTCTATGCCCCTGATTCTATTATAATCACCAGTTTATTCTGTTCATCAGATTATTTATTCACTTGATTTTTAAATTCACTTGTTGATAGATGTGTATTTGTTGTTCATAATTTGTATCTTTACCTTTTTCTTCTTCTTCCTCTTCTTAAAGAATACCCTTCAGCATTTCATATAATACTGGTTTGGTGGTGATGAACTCCTTTAGCTTTTTCTTATCTGTGAAGCTCTTTATCTGACCTTCAATTCTGAATGATAGCTTTGCTGGGTAAAGTAATCTTGGTTGTAGGTTCTTGCTATTCATCACTTCGAATATTTCTTGCCACTCCCTTCTGACCTGCAAAGTTTCTGTTGAGAAATCAGCTGACAGTCGTATGGGTACTCCCTTGTAGGTAACTGACTTTCTTTCTCTTGCTGCTTTTAAGATTCTCTCTTTGTCTTTTGCTCTTGGCATTTTAATTATGATGTGTCTTGGTGTGGTCCTCTTTGGATTCCTTTTGTTTGGGGTTCTCTGTGCTTCCTGGACTTGTAAGTCTATTTCTTTCACCAGGTGGGGGAAGTTTTCTGTCATTATTTCTTCAAATAGGTTTTCAATATCTTGCTCTCTCTCTCATCTTCTGGCACCCCTATAATTCGGATGTTGGTACGCTTGAAGCTGTCCCAGAGGCTCCTTACACTATCTTCATATTTTCGGATTCTTTTTTCATTTTGCTTTTCAGGTTGGGTGTTTTTTGCTTCTTCGTATTTCAAATCTTTGACTTGATTCTTGCGATCCTCTAGTCTGCTGTTGGAACTCTGCATAATATCCTTTATTTCAGTCCGTGTATGCTTAATTTCTAGTTGGTCCTTTTTCATAACCTCCAGGGTCTCACTAGATTTCTTGAGGGTCTCACTACATTTATCGGCGGTCTCACCAGTCTTTTCGAGGGTCTTACTAAATTTATCAGCGGTTTCTAGAAAGTTCTTGAAAAACCTTAAAAGTGTGGTTTTGAACTCTATATCCAGTAGTTTGCTTTCCTCCATTTCTGTCATTTGTGTCCTGTTTCTTTGTCTCTGAATTTGGGTGCTTCCCTGTGTTGATAGAGTGGCTTTCTGTGCTAGGTGTCCTATAGGGCCCAGCGGCTCAGCCTCCCCAATTACCTGAGGTGGACACTCTTGGTGCACCCCCTTGTGGTCTTTGTGCACAGTCTTGTTGTAGTTAAGCCTTCATTGTTGTTGGTATCACTGGGAGGAATTGACCTCCAGGCCAATTGGCTGTGAGAATCAGCTGTGTCTGCAGTGGGAGAACTTCTGTGCTGGAGATACCCTTCCGGGGCAAGACTTGCTTCAGTGGGGCTTTGGTGCTCACTGAGTCTGCCCCCTGAGTGTGTCCTTTATGGATCCGAGGAGCTGTAATCTGGATGGTCCCACTCTGACCACCGGGCACACTGGCTCTTGGATCTAAGGAGGTGCTAATCTAGCCTCTGCCTGAGGCTACCCAGCAGGAGCCAGCTGTGAAGCAATGCGAGTTGCCCTGGGGCCTTGGGCCAGCTGCAATTTGTTAGGTAATTTTCAGATTACAAAGGGCCAGGCCTTTCATATGCAAAAGCCTCCCTGCATGGCTTGGGCAGAGAGGGGTCCCAGGGGATCAACAGGGCGGAGCAAGCAGCTATGGCTGCCCTCAGAGGCCCCGCTTCTCAGTGTCCCGGCAATCGCTGCAAGCACCTCCAAGAGAAAGCTGCCCTCGAGTTCTGACCTATGCCAGACAGTCCAATTTCTCCCATATGAGTCTGGGTCCCCAGAGACTCTCCCGGAACTGGAGCTCAGAGCTTGAGACTCCCTCCCGATTGAAAAAGACAACCGTGTCCTCAGCCGCCAGCCCTCTCCGCGTGCGCCTCCGTACCTCTGTACTTTACTTCCATACCGAAGCTCCTCTGAGTCTCAGTGTGCTTTTCTCTTTCCTTCTAGTTGTAGAATTTCCACTCAGCCAGCCTTCCTGTGGTTCTGGATGATGTCCATTCCGTCTTTTAGTTGTATTCTTTTTTTTTTTTTCCTAGTTGTATTCTTGAAGTGGTTGTGCTAAGCAGCAATCTCTGGTGTTTACCTATGCCGCCATCTTGGTTTTCCTCTGAAATGCATCTTTATGTCTGTGTTCCCAACATCCCGCACAGGGCAGGCACCACTAAGTCCGTGTCTTGGCTACATGAGTTGCAGAGGACGCGGTCATGCACCGCCTCGGCCCCTGCCTTTGGGGAGTAACCGGCCCAGAAATGACCAGCCGTGCTATGGAGTTTGGGGGGAGCAGTTCATTCTGATCAAAATTGAACGACTTCAGGGAGGTGGCATTTGTCATGTCAGAGTGAGGCCAGAGAGGGCAACATGGGCAGAACACACAGCATCCGGAAAAGGGAAGGGTAGCAAAGTGAGGATGCAGAAAGCTGGGCAGTTTGGGTCAAGAAAGGCAGGCATGTAGAAGAGGTGGGCTTCTCAGAGGCTGGAACGGGTAGGGGGAGCTACTGGGGTAGGAGGAGTTACTGGGGTAGGAGGAGTTACTGGGGTAGGAGGAGTTACTGGGGTGGGAGAACGCTGCTGCTCTCCGGGGTCTCAGCCAGGCCTGGTGCTGGTGAAGGGCCTCGTCTTTGGCCTGCAGCTGGGGCCGAAGAAATGGCTTCTTGGCTTTGTGTGCAGCTCCTGAGCTGCGCTTCTTGTTGTTCCAGCTTCCAGTTCCAAAACCAGCTCAGGAGATGCCTCGTCACTTAGCATCGAGGAGACCAAGTAAGTACTGTCTCCTTCGTGCCCCCCTTTTTGCTCTGAATCGGGTAGGTCTGGAGAAGCTGCTTTTGGGGGGCTTTCAGACACTCACGCATTCGGGCTGGAATTGGAGGTGCCACGTGAATCAGTTAGCAACCACTTGAGTTATAGAAGAGGCCACTGAGCCCCAAGAGGAAGGACGGCATCCCATGGGTTAGGGCAGGCCTGGCCCAGTGCCCTGCTCCCTGGTTTGGAGGCCAGTGCCCTTCCCTCTGCCCTGACTGCCTGGGTCAGACCCTGTGTTTGGGTCACCCCGTCTGTCTAGAACTGCACTTGGTGCCCCATCTTTTGGACAGCTCCTAATACGTTCATCTCTTTCTCAGTAAACTCCGGGCAAAGTTGGGGCTGAAACCCTTGGAAGTCAATGCCGTCAAGAAGGGTGAGTGTGTGGCTGCGGATGGTGGTGAAGGAGGGCATTCGGATGGAGGAAATGGGGTTGGAGCGCAGGTTCGGGACCAGTTAGTGGTCTTGTGGGTGCAGGTTCGGGACCAGTTAGTGGTCTTGTGGGTGTGTACTTCTGATAGGCATGGGGCTCCTTGCTTTCATACCTCCCTCCCTCCCTCCCTCCTCTCTCCCTTCCTTCTCTCTTTCCATCCTCCCTTCCTCCCTTAGTTTAAAGTGAAAGAGAGTTTATTAGTGAAACAGTGATACTGAGAGTGGCTGCTCCACAGACAGCAGCTCAGCTTATTTAAGTTTGAACAGTTGGCGTTGCCCCCTCACTCTGGCCGTGAGGGAGCATTATTTGAGCTGAGAGATGTGCACAGTTGCTACAAACCGATTGGGGGTTTTGGGCTCTTTTTAAGCATGATTTGAGGGGCTCGGGAAGGCACGGAGGGTCCCGTCATGCTGTGTGGGGTGACACGGGAGTGTGGGGACAAAGTGGCAGTAGGGAGGTGAAGGGTCCTTCCCCCTTCTCCTGGCCCCTTCTGGCCCCCTGAGCTGGAAGGGGGCAGGGTGAGTGGCTCCCTCCTCTCCCCACCAGCCATGGGCAGGCATAGCCTCACGTCTGGGCCCCCCTTCCAGAGGCGGGCACCAAGGAGGAGCCCGTGGCAGCCGATGTCATCAACCCCATGGCCTTGCGACAACGAGAGGAGCTACGAGAAAAGCTGGCAGCTGCCAAAGAAAAGCGCCTCCTGAACCAAAAGCTGGGGTGAGGGGGTCCCAGCCAGGGCGGGCAAGGCAGGGGCCCGAGGAGCTGCCAAGGAGCTCTGCGGTCGGGGTGGGGGAGCAGGAGCTGGGCCCCCAAAAGGTCCCTCCTTTCCCCTCAGGAAGATAAAGACTCTGGGGGAGGATGACCCCTGGCTGGACGACACTGCGGCCTGGATCGAGAGGAGCCGGCAGCTGCAGAAGGAGAAGGACTTGGCGGAGAAGAGGGTGAGGCCCTGGGCAGCTGGGGGTGGTTGCCCAGGGCCTCTGGTGGCCTGACCAGCTGGTGAGGCAGGAGGCTGACCCCTGGGAGGTGAGGCTGGGCTCAGAGAGGTAGGAGGTTTGCGGTCAGTGGAGTCTGTTTTGATTCTCAGTGGCTTGCCTGCACGGCCTGCCCTTTTTGCACTCCCACTTGATAAGGCCTGTGTGTCTTCCGGTGAACTGGATGGCCTGAGGTCATAGGCGCCCCGACTCCCCCCCCGCCCCCCCGCCTTGTCCTATAGGCCAAGCTGCTGGAGGAGATGGACCAGGAGTTTGGTGTCAGCACTCTGGTGGAGGAGGAGTTCGGGCAGAGGCGGCAGGTGAGGTTCTGGGGCAGTGGGGTTGGGGGGGCACTGCTGTCCTGGTGCTGGGATCCCCGGGTGGGGTGGGTCAGGGCTCCTGACTCCGCCGGACTTGCCCCTCCCTTCTAGGACCTGTACAGTGCCCGGGACCTGCAGGGCCTCACTGTGGAGCATGCCATTGACTCCTTCCAAGAAGGGCAGACTATGATCCTTACCCTTAAGGACAAAGGTGGGTTGAGCTGGGTCCTCTGGTTGGGGACACAGGCACCGCTGATCTGGGGGCAAGTGTGAGTGGCCTCTGCCCTGTCCCCAGGCGTGCTGCAGGAGGAGGAAGACGTGCTGGTGAACGTGAACCTGGTGGATAAGGAGCGGGCAGAGAAAAACGTGGAGCTGCGGAAGAAAAAGCCCGACTACCTGCCCTATGCAGAGGATGAGAGTGTGGATGACCTGGCACAGGCAGGCGGGCCGCGGGGCGGGAGCAGGGAACCTGGGCAGTGGGCCATGAGGAATGGGTGGCTCTGTGGCTTTTCATGAGCCAGGCTGGGTCCCAACCTGTACCTCTTGCCTTGCAGCAAAAACCCCGCTCTATCCTGGCCAAGTACGACGAGGAGCTGGAGGGCGAGCGGCCGCACTCCTTCCGTTTGGAGCAGGGCGGCATTGCCGATGGCCTTCGGGAACGTGAGCTGGAAGAGATCCGCACCAAGCTGCGGCTGCAAGCTCAGTCCCTGAGCATGGTCGGGCCGCGGCTCGCCTCCGAGTACCTCACGCCAGAGGAGATGGTGAGCCCTCAGCTACTGCCCACACTTGTCACTGGGGCAGTGAGCTGAGGAGGGAGATTAGGCTTCCAGCGGCGCTCGGTCCTTGTGGAGGAGCAGTGATTGGCTGCCCTGGGGAGATGCCAGGGAGGTGGTGGGTGTAGACAGAACAGGGCTGTGGGCCAGGTGGACCTGCCTTCATGTTCAGGCTCTGCCACGTAGCCAGCCTGTGCCTGGGGTGAGCCACTTGACTGTGTGTCTGAGGCACCTGAGATGGGACGGTAGGAGCCACTCCTCAGGGCTGCTGCCAGGGTTAGGGGTTTGGCGAGTGGTCATGTTACAGCTGGGTGCGGGTTTTGCACTTGTGATGACTGAATGGACACAGGTCGACAGCTGGCTCAGTACAGTGCACGGCCAAGTGGCTGAGAGCAGGCTCTGGGGCCACAATCCCAAGAGTCACAAGCCCAGCTCTCCTTAGTTGCGAGGTGACCTTGGGCAGGCACTTAACCTCTGTGCCTCTGTTTTCCTCATCTCAGTGGTGGGATGACACTCGCATGCACCTACGTCTTGTTTCTGTATAAGAAGTGTTCGTTCTCGTGGGCTGTGGCCGCCCGCTTCCCCTCTTCCTCCTTCATGTCTCACTTCTCCCCGCCCCTCAGGTGACCTTTAAAAAGACCAAGCGGAAGGTGAAGAAGATCCGAAAGAAGGAGAAGGAGGTGGTAGTGCGGGCTGACGACTTGCTGCCTCTTGGGGACCAGACTCAAGATGGAGACTTTGGTTCCAGGTGGGCATGGACACAGGTGGGGTCTGAGGGCTGGGCTGACCTACGGGCCGATGCTCACTGGAGAGGTCTC